GCGGCGTTGGCAGAGAGGGCCATGAAGGCGGCGGCGAGAACGGTTGCTTTGAAGTACATCATTTTGAAAATTGTTGTGGTGTTTTTGTTTGTTTGTTTGATCGTTCAAATTGTTTTCGAGATTGGAATTGTGAGAACTCGGCATTGGTCCCTGTATGGTTTCATTTCAAAGGATGTTTCTCTCCTGTGACGAGATCTTCGCGACAGCGCACTTCGAAGGTAAAACCCGAAACCGAGTAAGTGCGTTGGAAAACTGCTGAAACCCGTAAGCCGGAAATTTAGTCCATCAGATAGAGCCTGGAAGGACGAAACTTGTAAGCCAAAAAATACGAGTCCGAGAGTGTGACGAATGATACAAATTTTAACCGCTAACTACCGGGAAGTGCGCTGCGTGGACAAAACTGGTGCACGACCTAACAAAATCCATAAAAGTACAGTAAACAAGGATGACCTCGAAAAAAAGCCATGGAAGAAAAAAGACTGAGATCGGGAYACAGTTGAAAAAAGGTGCACCGTCACTTTCTACGAAAGGTGCGCATTGTCATGATCGCATTCTTTAGTCGTTGGTAGGTACGAGTACTACTGTGAGTTACAGTACCGTAGCAATGTGAATCATGAAAATAAATTTTCGAGTACAAGTACGTAAGGTACGTACGCGTATTTTAGGTTGCCGTAGTAAGCATTCTTCAATTCAACGGTAGGAAAAGTATCTCTGTACTTCCGTACACAGTTCAATATTGTAGTACTGCCGTAGTGACACCCAGAAGCGAAAATCAGGGGTCATAAACTTRGAGGGGTGCGCGACGCCTACTAGAAAACCCACTTTTCACGAAACAGCGTAATTCCAAGTACTGGAAGCTACCAGATCCCTGAYTAGTAGTTCGACATGTGAATGTGGAGTAACAGGCTGATGAGCAGTGGAGGTAGGTCTATTGTTGCTCATAACCTGTGAAATATTGATACYAGGCTCCTTAGTGTATGTGAATACGTGGTTTACAATAAAGAGTGAGCTTATTCACTATCTACTAGTCGTAGTACTACTACTTGTGCTGATTTGGGCTCACACGACAAGAAGTGTAGAAACACTCCTGTTGCTACAAGAAGGAGTCGTGCGCATGCAGTGATGTGGATCATCTATCCCTACGGCATTAGTACATGCAACCTGATTATGAATATTGGAGGTTCCGGGAAACTATTTATCTAAAATTTGATTTTTTGCTACCAGAATTCAACAAGAACAAATTGACTAGTAGAAAAGGAATACAAATAAGATTTAAATCAGATTCATATCTGATTTTAATGTTGATTTTTGTAGCTTTCCTAGATACCCTATGTACCATTTGGTACATGTCAATTACTAGGTACCAGATATTGACTTTGTTCTTTCTACCACATATTGACTAGTAGTAGTATAGTGATCATGTCTCYTCTACTACCATATACTATCAGCTACTATGGTTTTACCCTAAATATACCAGGGAAAAACAATAAAAATTTGACTTGCTTAAATGAAAACAACYGTTTCCTGCAAACCGCCCAAGTTCTCCAATAGCCTTTATGCACCCACAAGCCATACTGCTAGTAGCAAGAACTTTTAATCCCACCATGTAGTACATGGTAGGAGGTCTACTCCCCAATACTACTACGCACTACTACTACTGCTACTACTACTACTACTACTAGTCAATGTTGTGGAACCAGTCTGGGATCTGGTAGCTTCCAGTACATGTAACTATGCTGTTTTGTATCGTCCCTGTGGTCCAAATTTGACTGAAGCCCCTTTCCAGGATTTAAAAATTCTTTATTGTTATTCTGCATAAGAATAAAAAAAAATCTTAATATTATTTTTAACCTCGTGAACTACTAGGAGCATTCTTTCTAACGAAAGCTGTGGTTCTGGACATATAGTGCCTCTTCTATTATGCATAAGAATAGTACTACTACTAGTAGTAGGAATAGGCACCAGTATCATGATTAATTGTTTAGTAGTACACCATGGTGTACTAAACAACAATGAATCCCAGCACTAATCTAGTAGAGGAGGTTCCAAGGCAACATTAATTTAATTGAACTTGCAAAACTGATACTACAAGGAGTAGTAGTGGTAGTAGTATGTCACACAGATTGTTGTTGTGCTGTGATGGCTATTGTGTTTTATTGTTGCACAACCTGAACACAACTTTCAGGGCCTTTCTCCTGGTGGCTCCTTGGAACATGTTCTTGCATCACACCTTTCTCAGCACAAGTTTGACACCCATTTGGGGATCTCTAGTATTATCTGTGAGTTGTTTTGAGTTTTCTTTCCACTACCTGGTGGTGGTAAATTATTCATGACTTGCAGTCATTCTTGTACAAGAACAGCACAGTGCAAATGYTTTGTCTGTTGGTGTTATTCTTAAAATTTTGCTCAACTTATTCCTGTATCTTTTCCTCTTGAAATTGTTTTGTTTAGGAGACACAGCCCCTATTAGGATCTGTCTAAAAAAGTACTTCAATTCTGGAGTATTCTCTTGTCTGTATTTCTAATTCAACACAACAAGGGATGAACCATGTTTGTTTAATTATTCCATTATACTAAAAKAATCTCCTGTCTATTTTGTAACAAGCAGAGAAGGATACTACAGTTAGACACAAAAGTCTTTTTTTGAATGGAATACAACACCACAACACCTCTGGTGCCACTCAGCTCACCCTTGTAATTCTTCATTYTTTTTGCCAAAGTCTGTGTGTTGTGTGTGGAAGCAGTGCTGATACTAGCTCACCAGTTCACAGAGTTCCTACTACCCAACAAGTTGCAGACACAACTAAGTTTTATAGAACAAGAGACTCATAAAAAATAWCTTTGCCCTCTTTTTGAACCATGTTTTCCATGATATCATTTGGAACTGGGAACTTTTGTGCTTGAAGAAAACATTCTTTGCAAAATTTAATAGTAGTGCCTSCTGTTTCAACAGCAAAGTCTCATGTTGTCCATTCTGTTGAACAGTCACCTGAGGGACCATGATAGCATCATCTGTATTAGTCCCCTGATAAATCTACTAAAACTAGTATGACTAGTACTGCTAATGCAATGCTTAGAATAGGTCTCAAATGTGTCTTCCTTTTTATGGTGAAAGTAAAAGCCTCCTTGTTGTTACCATGATTTGATTATCCTAGTACTCCTCCTCTTCTTCTTATATATATATATATATATATATATATATATATATATAACACGAGACTGGACATAATTTTCCCCCCCTTAAGGAGCATTTTCCAGAGTACGGATCAGATTACATACGGATTACAAGTAATCCGCGAGTAGCTCGCCAATTATGTAATATAATCGGTGAGCTGCACTTGACCGCATATAATTTTTTTTCCCTTAAGGAGAGTTCTTTTCCAGAGTACGGATCAGAATACATACGGATTACACTAAGTAATCTAACTGAGGTCAAGGTCGAGAGCTTGCTCAAGACCGAGTCCTCTGTTTGATTACTGATGGTTAAGGCAGTGAGCAGTCTCGCCAACTTAAAGCACTTGTAATTACCACGTAGCAAACAATGGAGGATGCTGATACGGAGGAGCCGGTGATAGGTGTTGCTGATATGGAGGATGCTGATACGGATACGAGTCGCTGATACGGAGGATGCTGATACGGAGGATGCTGATACAGAGGATGCTGATACGGAGGATGCTGATACGGAGGATGCTGATACAGAGGATGCTGATACGAGTCGCTGATCGCTGATACAAAGGTTGCTGATACGGAGGCTGATACGAGTCGCTGTTACAGAGGACGAGCTTCTTATACGGAGGAGCCGGTGATACAAGTCTATGATACGAGTCTCTGATACAAGCCACTGATAAGTGTTGCTGATACTGAGGATGCTGATACGTGTTGCTGATATGGAGGATGCTGATACAATGTACTCGAAATTTTTGTACTCTGAGCAATTTTTGGGTTCGGAGTTGTATTCAGGTTCAGCCAAACAACTAGCATTTACGTGGAAAAAAWTTGGTAAGGCCCGGCTGCTGACCTGAATAAATTTTTTTCGACCAAAGTACAATTTTTGAATACAGTATTTATGTAATATGAGTACAAGTTTAATCGGAGTAAAATGCTTAACAGTATGAACCTACCACGTCCTACAGCGCAGAAAGGCATTCTATTCAAACACCAAAAATTATTACTAGTAGCATCACGGTTAATTTTGGGCACCGTATTTTAGTACTGATCCTACATAGATCTACCAGTTTTTGGTCACTTTCTGACCACAAACAGTGTAATAGGACATTTAGAACTGCTCCGGTCATATTGCCTGAGAGCAGCTGTTCTTTGGGGAAGTGCTTCCTTATAGTGTTGGGAATAGCCCCATGTGTCATTGTTACACAATTAGGGGCCAGGGGGGGGGGGGCGATTCTCCACTAACACATGGTATGGCCAAAATTGGCCGGTTTACACCAAGAGCGCCTGCTAGTTAGAAAAAAGGCCAGAACTCTATCAAAAAACAACTTTAGAGCACCAGACTAAGCGCCCGGACCAAGATAATACAATTACTTAGTGATCCAGGTCATTGGGATGCTTAATGATGCTCTGGCGCCTTAGAACTAGTATGCAGAAGTTACAGTAGTAGTGGGCCAAAATTCCTGCGTTAATTCTAGGTGTAATTTCACTCAAGTTAAACTCGTATGTACTCACCGGAGGTGCTGTATTTAAGTTAAAAATTAACTAGTGTTTGTTAGTGCGCGATTTTAGTACTCATTTAGTATTCGACCGCGCGTGATTACAAGCAAAAAGTGAGCTACTCACCGATTATATTACATACTGTATCTGGCAGCGTGATTTGATTGTTTTTTTCGCTCGATCCCAAGGGTTCGGCACTCTTAGTTTCTATTGATAGCTCTCATACTCGTAATTTAATCGYATCTCTGATCCAATCTATTTTGAGAATCCTATTTACTTCGACAAGACACCACTCGTACTAATCTTACAAAAAATGTTAGTGCAGGAAAGGTATGGAAGTTTGTTTCAAACTCTACCTGAAAGGAGAACTGCTCTCTGCCAGGTCGATCACGGCCAAATACTTTTCATAGTGTCGCGAGGAATGTTGGTCCGGAAAGCATTTTAAGTATGGTGCAGAACGCTATAATTCCCATGCATTCCGAGAAGGCATCAGAGTTCCAAAGCGACCTAAATCTGCGTTGAGCAAATTGAACTGTGCCAACTAAAAMGAAAACTTCTCCATCCAAACCGATCCGACCTGTTGAAAAACCAAATTTCTGAACCAGACCCGAAACGAAGTATACTTCGCATAGAACAAAACCATGACTGCTTCTTCTGCCACCAAAGATCCATTGCAACTGCTGATGGATTGTACCAGTTCCTTCTGTTCCTGGATCAAGAACGACGTAGCTAGTCAAAGTGATGGCGATTCCAACCCCACGCTTTTGATGCCGGAACTGRAGAAGAACCAACACGAATCATTGACTCCAAGCACGAATTTGAAGGTTGCTTTCCTGATAGCCATACCGTTGATCGGGATCCTCTTTCTCCTGTACTGCAGCAAGTACTTCAACTACGTGGAGCAGCCCCGGATCTACACGTACTCAGGCGACACAGTGGACACATGCGACGATCTTGAAAGAAGGGAATCGTCCTTCGACGATGATGACGAGGAATACATCGACAAAGATTCGTTGGAAGGTACAATAGAGGTACAGAAACTAAGAGCCAGAGATATCCCCCGTGTTCCGATTGAAAACARTGGCACAGAAAAAATGGTAGTAGAAGACAACAAGACATGCGGCGAAGATCGCGACACATGCGACCTTTCCCAAATCGAGAAGCAAGATGACCACAGTGTGTGATGGTACGGAGCACGATCAATCGGTCGATGATCCTCTCACCCGCTATCTRAARCACTGGTAACAGCAAGTATAAAGAACCACACGACAAGAAAAATTAGATGACAATTACAAGCATCTACTCTCCATCCAATATACGAGTATGCTCCGGGMACTCCCCCTGATTGGGTTGCATTTTGTGGTTCTAAATCGCGAGGGACKCATCTATTGATTCACTGCTGCTTTTGCTCTATTTTTTTTWAAATTATTGCTGTTCTCTCTGGCAGAGGAACGAATCGAGTATTTCTTGAATGTATCTTTACGACAACAGCTCTTGAAGACGTTTTTCGTATCGTTGTACTTGGAAATCGCTCAGCGYATGGTAATCATTACCGAGCTGAAAGGGATTCTTGTTGAGATCATAGTACTCGACAAAATCTTCGTTATCGTAAAAGACGCAATATATGCTGTTTTCGTTGTTCGCTGCCTTGCTGTTTGTTGCTCTCGAATCCGATGCATCCGCCGCTCCCGCATCCTCTCGGATGCCCTCTCTGYTGYGTTGGTTTGTGTTTTGGATTGCATTCGCAGTCATGGTCCGGACGCAATGATACGTGTTGTTGTAGGAGTCGGGCATCCACCAAAGCCCGTTCAGGGGAGCGGGGCATTCGCTCAAACCGCACCTGGGATCTCCCTCTCCGTGGTACGCAATCAATAAATCGTTGCGTTGCAAGAATGGATCACTGGGCCGTGTTTTGTGTCCGTTGTGATAGTYCCTGGTGGTGTTCATTGGTAGGTGGTTTTCGTCTCCCCCGATGGTTCGAAGAAAATCCCAAAACGAAACACCGTCCATTCGGTCCATAGCACCACGCAGGCGATGGACCAAGGAAGCATCCGTGTTGTYGTTGTYGTCGTTGTGCTGAATGGCCTCYAAGAAAATGTCCAGCATCGTGGGTGCTATATCTACCAGGGAGATAATYYGTTCTTGGGGCACAGAAATGCTCTTGGCACCACTGCCAAACGGACCACGAACCACAAAGGGGACTCGCACGTCGTGTTCGTACAAGTGACGCTGTCATTTTGTGTAGAAAGAAAGAGGACCCAAAGAATCGATGAGATCCAAATCAAGGAACCGAACACACTCTGCATACTTTTGGACGTGTACCAACCTTATCGATGGCCAATCGGTGCTGTCCGAATTGAAACCCATTGTCACTAGTGTACATGATCACCGTTCGATCGAGCATCGTTGTGTTCAGATCTTCCTTGTTTTCACTCTCGTCCGATGTGGCATTGCCGCTCCCGCTGCTGGCATTGGTTTCTGGTCTCCCGAGCCATTCGACGAGGGCTCCGACGTGATCGTCGACCGTCGCAAGGGCCCGCAACCGGTTCCGATAGATGGCGTCGATCTGCGACGCSGTCCGTTCGGAGATGGCTCCCAGCTGCCGGAGCAACCAATGCTTTCGTTGAGAGGGACTGCTGCCGGTGCCCGAGGCGTTCCAGTTGGGGGTCCGGGGCGCAGCCACGTCCGGGTAGTCTCCCGCGTGCTTCGGTTCCGGAGTGAATGGCCCGTGGGGGGTCGGCCAGGCGACGACGGCGAGCCATGGCTCGGTGAGCCCGGGCAGGGTGGAKAGGGTGTAGTCCTTTAGAACGAGCGGCAGGTAGTCCCCGGGGTAGGAATCTCCGTGGGCGTGCAGGCGGATGGTACCGCCCCTGCCGTCGTTGTCCACCGTGCCCTCGTTTTCCGGGTTTGGCGTCCGCTCGACAATCGTGTAGTTGTAGTATCTTGAATTCCCCTCCAGGCCGTACCAATAATCCCACCCGGCCGGTATTGAATCGGGATCGATGTCGGAGTGCGAACCGCTGCTGCTGGTGTTGGTGCTGGTGCTGCTGCTGCTGTGCTTGTATTGGTTGAGGTACTTTCCGGCATAGAGCGTAGTGTAACCCGCTGCCTTGGCGTAGACGGCAATCGTGTCTTCCTTCTCGGTATGTTTCCGCCATGTGTCTCCGTAGCAATTCCCAGCCAGACTGTTGTTCACCGCCAATCGGTACAGGTTGTCTTCTTGGTTGCTTTCCCTTGTGTTTGTCCCACCTACCTTCTTGTTGTGCAGGTATTTCCCCGTTAGGAGCGAGGATCGGCTTGGGCAACAAATGGGAACGTGCACCAGCGCGCCCTTTTCGAAGGTAATTCCCTGCTGCTTCAGGAAGGAATGTAGCTTTGGCATATAGCTTTGGGTGTCGAAGGATCCGAGTTCCACGTCCTGGTCGTCTGTTAGGAGGAGCAGGATGTTCTTCTTTGTGCTTGGTTTGTTGTTGCTTTCTGCGTCATTCTGGGTGTGTTGGTTCTCTTTTCCTGGAATTTCTATTTCGGGACCAGTGCACCGGAGGTTCGCCAGTGGTAGYAGTAAATACACGGAATAAGTTGCAAACGAAACTGCAGCTACCAGCAAAAGCAGCGCGAAAGGCAAAGAAGACATCGACATGTCGACACGGACAAGAAAGATTTATGTTGTTGTTATTGTTATTGGGAGTTCCCGTGYGAGTTATTCGTTTCCTTTCATTCTGGTGTAAATTGTTCCACGGTACGAGTGCGATCTTCCATCCGTCCGGTACGAGGTACTACTCGTACCCGTACCCGTACTCTTGCTATGAAAGTGTATCTTTCGTCCATTTTTTTCGATTTTTGCTCGTCAATAGCAATCCACTACACTGCACACTGTGCTGTACGTAGCGTACGGTGCCTTAAAAGTACGGGTACGTACCGTACGATACGCGTACCATACATCCTCGTAGTCTAGCTAGGCGGCTACACTCGCACCTACCTGGCCTGGMTGTGGGGTTGTACGATACGAGGCGAATGCATGCGATATATATGGTACCGTACGTACGTACGTACGAGTACTGTACTTCTTTCTTTTTTCGATATTTTATTTTCGATATTTATGTGGCCTTTGTGAGGGTAAATCCCGAGTAGATAGTGAATGACCTAATCGTGCTCGTTTCTTTCCAAAAGGCTTGACGATTGCGCTTAATTGGTCTTACCAGTAATCGTGTTTGAAACATTCTTTTAATCTGG